TTGCATGGGACCTATTGGAGTGAAATCCCATCTGGCGCCTTATTTGCCTGGCCACCCGGTCATTAGTCCGCTAGAAAGCGAAGATGCTAGCTTTGGCGTTGTGTCGGCAGCACCCTTTGGCAGCTCTGCAATTCTACCCATCTCATGGTCATATATTAAACTAATGGGCAGCCGCGGTCTTAAACGCGCTACTCAAGTAGCAATTCTTAACGCCAACTATATGTCAAAGCGCTTAGAGCAACATTATAAAACTTTGTATAAAGAACCGAAAACTGGTCTGGTGGCGCATGAATTCATTTTGGATATACGCGATTTGAAAAAAACTGCCAATATTGAAGCCGTCGACGTAGCCAAACGTCTAATGGACTATGGCTTTCATGCACCAACAATGTCTTTCCCTGTAACCGGAACTCTTATGATAGAACCTACCGAATCAGAAGACAAAGAAGAATTGGATAGATTTTGCGATGCCCTGATATCCATTCGTGCGGAAATTTCCGAAATTGAAGAAGGACGCATGGACAAAAAGGTAAATCCCCTAAAAATGGCTCCACACACCCAAGCGCAGGTCATATCCGAGGACTGGAACAGACCATATAGCCGCGAATTGGGAGCATTCCCTGCGGTGAGTATTACTGCGATCAGATTTTCGCGTAACTTTGAAGTCTAAAAATGTAAATTCTTCTATTGCCATTAGCTCTTTGTGAAACCTGATACAAAAATCTGGCCTACAGTAGCGCGTATCGATGACGCTTACGGAGATAAACATCTCGTTTGCACTTGTCCACCCATTCTTCCTGATATTTGAAATAAGTGTATTAATTAAGATTTTAAAAGCTTTACTTAGTACTTAGATGTGCATTTTGAAATCGAATCGGTGATAACAATGAACGTAAACTAAACTTCAATTTGACTTAAGTTAAAGATGTTGATTTTTCTTAACATAATCAACGGCCAGCTGTTTAACTCTCTGAACATTCGCCTCTGTTCCATAATTTTGCTCAAATTCCAAGTACTTTTTGAATATAGTGCGCATTTTCTTCAACGGTATTTTCTGAATTATCGCGCGCTCTAGGACGTTTCTGTGGAAAAAATAAATAAAAAAAAAAAAAGAAAAAATTTAATGTAAATTAAAAATTCAGTTCCGAAATTCTATACGTACCGAGCACAATCGATAAGATTTTCTTTAATTAATACATCGACATACTGCGACCAAACATCCACTCGTTTGGGATATGAAGTAACGATCTGATCAAGCAGAGTCTGAGCCATTTCACTTCGCCCATATTTTTGGTTCAGATTCGCAAACATAATGATCGTGTTTACATCTGAAAAAAGGAGTGTCAGTTAGTAGAGTGTCAATAGTGTCAGAAGGTATTTTACTTACGTTCTCGCTCTGGCAAACTACTCAATGCCTTATGCAGCAACTGTTGAGCTCTTTCCACCATTCCTATGGCAAATAAGGCGTTAGCAGCGGAACGCCACGCTTCTGGCACAGATTTGAATTTCTTTGTTATGACGCTAACCATTCCGGTAAGTTCTTCATGTTTTTGCAAATCAATTAGTATATCGAGCGCACGTAAGTAAATTTTAATTGGATCATTGTAGGTAAGAGCATCTTTGAAAGTATCATCGAAAGATTCTTTAGACCCGTACCTGAGTTCCAAATTTAAAAGTGCAACCCACATATTTATCTGTTCGTTGGAATTTCTAAAGGAAATAGTTTTCAGAGCTCGTCGGGCGACTGCACGAGATTTGTCAATTTCAAAAGACTGCATATGAAAGACCATATAATTTATCCAGTGTTTACTATTGTCTGGCTCAGACAAAACTAAACGATCAAACTGGTCGACTGTCTCAGGCATATGGTTTGGATCGGCATATTTTTCTTCAATGTTTCGTAAACGGGCTTCTTCTTCGCGTTGTTTTTTAAACTTTTCAGCAGCAGTCAGTTTCTTTTTCTTAGTTGGCTTCTTGTTGTCGTCATTGTCATCGTCGTCATCTTCGCTGTCAGATGGCTCTACAAAGTCGTTACTCTTTGACAGGTCCCAAAAGTCTACGACTCCTGGTAGGGGTTTTATCCTAATTGTTGACGTCATTCTTTCTTTGGTCTTGTTGTTCCGTGCATCATCAGCGAACACGGGAAACCCTGTTTGACTCGAATGGTCATCAAGAGTTGGCGTTTTATCCTCGTAAAATAAAGGCACTTCCTCTTTCATTTTCTTAACTCGTTCTTTAGAATCTGTTCGATATTGCGACCGCTTCTTACTTGCTGCGTCTATGTCCTTCGTTGGACCAGAAACATTACTTTTCATTGGTTCTTTAGTTACTTTTTTCCTTTTACTCAAATCATTTGTGGAAAGCGCACTTCCTTCTTCATTGTTATCTTCGTTTGTTACTTGTTGATCAATTTCACTATTTTGCATTTGATGACAATCATTACTGGATTTGATCGCTTGTTGAGATTTTTTCTTACTTAACGCCGGTTCGCCTTTTTCTAAGGAGTTTTCCATTCTTGCTATTTTCAATGTTGTTGCTTTAACGTTATCTTGCGTTAGTTTGCGTTTTTTAGCTTTGGGCACATGGCACGCCTTATAAATATCATCAGGAACTGCAATTGGCAAAGTCTTATGTATAAACGAAAGTCGATAGAAGCTTCCCTCTGCCACACTGTTCGCGCAGACCTCCTCAAAATCATTGAAATGCAAACGAGCCGGACAGTATATCAGTGGATTATTCAATTTTTTTAGAGAACAAATCAGGATCGTGTCCAGTTTTAGTAACACTTTGGCATTGATTCCAGACTTTCCCACCAGGTTACTCGGTATATTTTGATCATTAGATATGTGATTTATATCCGACGCTTTATTACTCAAATATATTATATTTCTACTATAATCAATCCAAAGGATAATGCAGTTCTGCTGGGTACCGGGTTTTGGAATCTTTGCTTTACCGACTATAGTTGCCTTAACAAGACCTATAACTTCAGTTTTATCTAAAACAAATTCCCAATCTTTTGTGACGTCATTAACACATTGAAACTCTGCAGTAATCTTATCGCCAATGGAAAACTGGGAAATAGTATGCTCGTTCGTTCTCAAAGCAGCTTTTATTGCATCCACCTCTTTCAAGTAACTAATAGGACACGAATAACATATGAGAAGTTATTCCTTTTGGATATTCAACTGATCTGAACTCACCTTTCTACATATTTTGCCGACTCATCCAAGCAATCTTCTAAAACATCGGTTAATTTCGCCGAAACAGAAATTGCTTTAGTAATATTTTCCTTTCCCAGCACCCGGGCGTAAAGAACTTGTTCCGATGAGAGGGTAAGTTTATGCAAATTAAAGGCTTTGACAAGCATCATGTCGGAATGCAATTTAATTGGTTCTTTACAGCCAGCTGTTAGCATACATATCTCTATAACGTTTTCATCGACAACGTTCTTAACGTAGGCTTTTAATATATTTCCTGGTTTAATGTCTTGCCATTTATTGATTGCACTTTGAGCATAGTAACCCGCATCTCTTACACTAAATACATTGCCCGAAATGCAGACAGCTTGCAATGCTTCGCCAATATTATATGTTTTCAGCTTAGCCAACGTCAAATCTCTGAAATCTGATAAAAAAGTTGTGGGCACGAGACCCTTTGCGGTGCATTCGCTGCCGTCTTCACAGTTGTAAACCATTTGAACTTCTAATCCTGATTCCAATACGTGCACAACAGTGACCGGGCATATCTCGCCTGGATTTAGTAGTAAATTGCTTGCGAGGCGTAAAACTAATTGCTCTCCCTTTACCTTAGCAACACGAAATAACATAGTCTGACCTTCCACCAAGCTATCAATTTCATCTGTTGAAGTGTCCTTGTCTTTGTAGAGAATTCCTTTAACTTCCCCGAAAAACTTTACCAAAACAGAAACTCCTTTAGTGATCTTAACAACTGTGCCCATGTAGGTGGCGTTAATCTTTGCCTGAGCCAGTGAGGTTAACAGCCTGCAATTTTTTGCCATATATTCCGGTCGATTGGTAAGATAGATGATATTACGATCAGTGTTTATCCCAACAACTCGGCATTTCATTTTTGTATCACTATCAAGAGTTTTGCTGGTGGCAGCTAAATAAATGTTTTCGATTGCGCCTTAAATAAAAGGAGGATTATTTTCAAGTGTTAATGTTTTTATTCAATAATAATGATAATGATATGTAAGCATTACCTTTCAATTTGCCCACTTTAAGCCTATAACCACCCATTTTAGTGTCCGGTGTTTCCACAATTGCTTTGACAAATTCGCCTGCTTTCACATCTTGCAGTGTAAAGAATTTTTCATTAATCAGGCTTATATCGTCCGTACACGTATATAGGGAATCCATGGCATCGTACTCTAAAATCCTTACTTTGTGTTGCGATTTCTTGACATATTTTGCGAGTAATGCATCCTGATCATAATTGCCTTTATAATTAGCCTTGATTGTTTTGTAAGAAACGACACCTTTAAATTTCTCATTTAAAATGAATATAACGCCGCCAGTCCCGAAATGATGTACTCGGGCGTCTTCGACAATATCGCCTCGTTTCAACAACTCTATCTCCGATGCGCTAGTATTTTCTTCTGACAAATTGCGAAGATTTAAGGTTAAGTAGACAAGTTTCGTTAGCGGCATTACATAAAGTATACGAGCTTTGTGCACGGATCCTATTTGAAAGGTTTCTGGTAACGCGAGAGGACTATCTAGCTGATGCTCGTTAACGTATGCAGTGAACAGCTCGTTCATAATAGTGCCCTGCAAGCCATCTTTAAGCACTTTCTCCACTTGAAATTGCACGATCATGGAAGGCATTAAGTAATCTAAGTTACAATCTCGTTGCTCCTTAATTTTTACTTCTTCAATTAACAGTTCCTTACATATGCAAGTGGAAGCATTTTTATTTGAAGTCATTTTTTTTACTTTAAGTAGTACATGTTGCCCTGTGACATGTTCTTTCTGCGAATTCTCAAATGGTAGAAAGCAACGCAAATTTTTAATGCCCGATTCAATTATATAGCCGTGTTCTTGGACTTCCTCTATAGCACCGCTGAAACTAAAGTCCTTACGTATGTTGCTGTGACGAAGTTCAGAATGAACATTGCTTGGTTTAAGCGTCATCATAATCCAAACGCGTCCCGTGTCGCTGCGTTTTAATTCTTGAACTTTGCCGTACACAACTTGCCCGATTCTATATAGATCTGGAAGTGACTTGACTCCGTCATCTGGCTGAGAATTACTAACTAATCTTTGCAATGATTTAGTGTATGCTTCAGAAATTTCCAAAGTTGAGACTTTTGCTGTTATGCGACCCGGCAGTGACAGTTTAAGATGAAGCTGATCTACTTGCTTGACAACGCCCATGATAAGCATTCCCTCTTGGATGGTATCATAATTCAACAGCTCTGCTGAAAATGTTTCCAAATTCCCATTTTCCGCGTTATTAATATCTCCACTTCCATGGGTTTTACGCTTCTTAGTCCTTTTCTGAACAGCTCCAAATATCTGTTTAAAGGATAATTCATTATTATTATTATTATTATTATTAGAAAAAATATTTAATGAGACAAAGTACTAGATGGGAGGGCTCGAATTTTTTGCCAGTCAAATGAAATGAAATTTTAATGTTTTCCGTATTGCCTTTTCTTTCCTCTCTGATCTTAGAAGAGTGAAGGGGGACCAACATGCATTAGCTTGAGTAGTCCGGTTCGTTTCCACTACATCTTAGCTGTTCTTTCTTAAGTGTGGCAAGAAGAATGACAAGTTTGTCGTACATTTAACAAATCAAGCAGATAAAAGCCATAGTTAATTTATAGTTCTGGGAAATAATGTCCAATATGTTTGACCTTCTTCGAGTCGGCGGGATCTTTTTAAAGGCTAACTCCCGCCAATTTTACTTACCAAAAAAAAAAAGAAATGGATATTGAATTCAAATGGATTAAACCGCTGAGGTTGTGGCTTGCATGTCCATGCGTTTCATCACACTAGCAAAAGGTGAGAACATACATGAACTTTTCTCTTTTTGCGCGATTACGACTTTTTAGAGATTCGTTAATGAGTTTTAATAATGCTTCCAAGATAAATCCTTTCAACTTACGATATTCTCTTTGATTGCCTTTTTGGCGGCATTTGATGTGCCTCCTCTTGGAAAACTTTTTTCCACAATCACCATTTTTATTCGAAAAAAACTATAAAATATTCCAAACAAACACACACCACACGTGTCGCTATATTTACATACAATAATAAATGTCAATCTATTGGGGATTTTGCACAATGATAGTCACCAGCAGCAGTTCTCTATACACAATGCTGCCACCTAATCACAGAAGAGCAAATCATGCGATTTGAGACGAATCTAGCTGTCATTAGGTAAGGCTTAGAGAGCATTTCATAAGAGAAGAAGAAGAATATATGAAAAAAAGGAGGCTTTCGGTCTATACTCTAATTGCACCTTGCCAAAGCGTTGCATGCGATAAAAAAATTGCAAGACATGAGAACTTTTTAGTCATCTATTCATTTTGTCGGAAGCAGTTTGACAGTTTCTTTCAGTGCAGAACCCAAAAACTTTTCCCTCGAATTACCTAATGATATAACGAACTCAGCATACCGCATTTCTGATAGCAACGTTGAAACCAAATTGAGGTTATATTTATATGCTTGGCACAGATGTGTTTAATTGAAATATTTCAAATGCAAACGACCAGGGAATTCACACTTAAAACTAAAAGAGGAAATATTCTAAAGGTAAAAACGTTTTAAATATTTAAATAATAATCGTCAAGTGCAGAGGAAAAATTTCATTGTTTTTTTAGATTGTACGTGAACATTATTTGCGTACGGACTTGGGATGTGGCTCCGATCTATGCAAACAGTGCGAGCATGTTAACGATACTGTTGTACTTCATGCAGATCGTAACGTGAAAAGTGAACTTTTCAATTTCCCGCATTATTTGGTGTTGGATACGAATGTTATACTTCATCAAATCGATGTCCTTGAAGAGGATGCAATTCGCAACGTTATAATATTGACTACGGTTCTAAATGAGGTGAAACATCGTAGTTCAGCTGCGTATAAGCGGCTATTGGATATTATTCAGGATAAATCACGTGGCTTCTATGTTTTTGTGAATGAGCATCATAGGTAAATTAGAATTGTGTTCGAATTTGGCCGGTGTGTTCATATGCCATCAGGAGATTTGTTGATTTACCTTTTCCGCCAGTGAGTATCATCTAGTCTAAGATTAAGAACCTCGCTAATGAAGGGTACAGTATTTGTTGGCGCAACGAATGAAAGTTGAAAAAGTCTAATCTGATCCCTGCTCAACGCAAAAACTGTGGTAGTTTGCAAAAAAACTAAAGCAAAAAATAAATAAAAAAAGATTATTGCCAAAGGTTAAATAGTATCGTCCGTATGGAAACAGTACATGAATTTTAGAACCATTTGTTTGGTATTATCCCGGGAACGAATATTAAAAATTTTGCTATATGTGAAAAAGAAGCTACTTTTTTACAACCGCCTTCGAAAAGTAAAGTAACAGTTGAGTTCAAGCCATATTGAAGTTATTGAAATGTAGCAATAACGGTACCTTAAAAGCTGGTGTCAATACTTCTCATTGTGGTAGTGAGCAATACAGGTCCCGCCAAAAATTGGATTGCAATTTGTTTTAATACTTAAAATTATATAATTTATTTAGAGATACATATGTGGAGCGGAAACCGGGGGAATCGTCAAATGACCGAAATGACCGGGCAATTCGTTTTGCCACCAATTGGTATGATGCGCATTTGCTGATGGCCCAAGAACGAAATGGTTCAAAGAATGAAGCAACAAGAGTCGTGCTTCTGACAGACGACGCGATCAACATGCAACATGCCGAAAAGGATGGAATTCTTGTAGCCAATGTGTACGATTATACAAAAGGTCTTACTGATCATCCCATGCTAATAGATAAATACGCTCAAAAAGACATTGAGAAAGAGAATACATCCCATGCTATATATCCTTCTCATCTCAGTGCTAATGAAATTTTGACTGGTATTCGGAACAAAAGGCTTCTGCAAGGGGCATTTCAAGCTTGTCGCGAAAATTTTCTTGAGGGAACTGTCACAGTTGAAGGATATGAGAAGCCAGTACGTTAAAAGTTCGTAAATGTAAAAATTTTTCGGATATTAATTTCTAATCTCCCAATAGATTCTTATCCAAAGCAGAGAATCATTAAATCGGGCAGTTGATGGCGATATTGTTGCGATTGAACTATTGCCGGAAGAGCAATGGTCCGTCCCAAGTGAAATTGTGCTTGAGGAAACTGAATTAGATGAACAGAGTGACCAGACTAGCGACGGCATTAACAAAACCTTAACGGCTGTTATTGCTACGGCGGCCATTAAAAGTAACAAGCAACCAACTGGCAAAATAGTTGGTATAATTGTGCGCAAAAGACGTCAGTATTGCGGAGTTCTGCAGCCTAGTCTTTTGGCCAATGCAACTCGTCACATATTTATTCCTGCGGATCGTAAAATTCCTCGAGTCCGTATTGAAACCCGCCAAGCTGAAAAATTGAATAATCAACGCATTGTAGTGACTATAGATAGTTGGCCTCGCACTTCCCGCTATCCCCATGGGCACTTCGTTCGATCGCTGGGACCTTTAGGTGATGTGGACACAGAGAATGAAGTCATTCTGTTGGAACATGATGTGCCCCATAGCAAATTTTCTGAAGAAGTTCTTAATTGTCTACCCAAAATGCCTTGGATTATAACTCCTGAAGTAATTTACTTAGTACCTATTACTTATTTTCAGGTTTAAAATTTAACTCAATTCAAGGATTACGCGGCACGTGTAGATCTCCGAGATATTAATATATGCTCAGTAGATCCGCCTGGTTGTACAGATATTGACGATGCTTTACATTGCCGCGAATTATTAAATGGGAACCTGGAAGTTGGTGTACACATAGCCGATGTTAGCCATTTCATTCGGCCTGGAACTGCACTTGATAAAGAAGCTGCCAGTCGCGGTACAACCGTATACCTTGTGGGGAAACGCATTGATATGGTACCAGAGTTGCTGAGTTCAAATCTTTGTTCTCTAGTAGGAGAGCAAGAAAGATTTGCTTTCTCCTGCATTTGGGAAATGGATACGGAAGCTAACATATTAAGTAAAAGATTTCACAAAAGCGTCATCAAATCTAAAGCAGCATTGACCTATGAGCAAGCGCAGATCCTAATAGACGATAGTTCACAAGCTGGAGAAATAGCCAAGTCTCTACGCCACTTAAACAAATTAGCAAAGATTCTTAAAAAACGGCGTATGGACAACGGGTAAATATTGAAATACAAATTAATTTAGTAAAATTGTCGCTCTAAACTGAAATTCAACGTTATGTAGAGCTCTTGTATTAGCTTCGCCGGAAATTCGTTTTCAAGTTGACAGCGAAACTCATGAGCCACTCGAAGTTGAAGCGAAACAATTACGAGATACCAACTCTATGGTAGAAGAATTTATGTTATTGGCCAACATAACAGTTGCTGAACATATACTGTTGGAGTTTCCGCAATGCGCCTTATTACGACGCCATCCAAGACCTCCGCCTGCTAACTTTGATCCCCTTGTCAAAGCAGCACAAAACCAAGGATTCGAAGTGAAAGTCGACAGCGGCTTTGAATTGGCAAATTCTCTCGATACTTGTGTAAAGCCAACGAACGCCTACTTTAACATAATGATACGCATATTGGCTACTCGTTGCATGATGCAAGCACTTTATTTCATTAGTGGCACTTTGCAAAAAGATCAATATTTTCATTATGGTCTAGCAGCTCCCATATATACACATTTCACTTCACCTATACGCAGGTAATGTACATAACGTAATCAAAGTAAAAATCAAATAAGATCAAAGCAGATTAATTGATTACTTGCTTTTGTTATCCTTATTAGATATTCGGACATCATTGTGCATCGACTTTTGGCTGCCTGCATTGGTGCAGATAGCACGTATACAGAGCTCTTGGACAAGCAGCGCAATGAGGAACTTTGTCACAATTTGAATTACCGTCATAAAATGGCGCAGTACGCTTCTCGAGCATCGGTCGCTCTAAATACACATTTATTCTTCCGCGGTAAGGCGCAGGATGAAGAAGGGTAGGTGTCTATAGATAAATATACATTGAAATCCCCATCTTTTAAGTGTAATTTTGTACCTATCTTAAAGCTATGTATTGTTTGTACGTAAAAATGCTTTACAAGTTCTTATACCGAAATTCGGATTAGAAGGAACGATCTATTTGAATTCCCTCAAAGATGACACAAGAAATATCACGAATGGTGCGGTTTTTACATTTAATGAAGAGGTTCGTTTCGATGTAGATTAATTTCTTATATAAAATATGTTACTTAAAATTTGATCTTAGAGTTATACCCAACGTTGTGGAGATGTGGAATTCCATGCTTTTGATCCCGTTACCGTTCGTTTAAGTCTTGATTCCACTAACGTGCAGCATGAAAAATTAATTTTTCAATTAGTGAAACCATACATTAAAGGATTCAGTGTGGAATTAAATGAAGATATTCAGGAAAATGAATCTTCATTAGCAGCTCCTTCCCCGCAAAAAAGGAGTAAAAAGCTGAAGAAACGAAAGAAAAGAGAGAAGACAGAAAACGAAGAAAGCGGGAGAATAAAACACAAGGCTTAATTAATAGTTCCACAGACTCATTGCATTTAATCAACAAATTTTATAAAAAAAGTGAAGCAATTTTTTAAAGTGCTTTCATTTATTTTGTAGATATTGTGGCAAATTTACTTATCGTTCTTCCGCAGAAAAGCCAGGGATACTGCATTATAGTTAAATTTCGCGGGATTTTTCTTTTGTTTTGACGTCGTTAAATAATCGAATGAAGTTTGTTGCAATTATGTGGCGAACCATTTTGAGAGGTCCTAATTTAATGTTTAGGAAGGTTTTCTCAATCGTTGAAAAAATGAAACTCCGATTGTTTAAAAATTTTTAAGATTAATCTGCTGTCCCAAGACTATAAAGTTGTCCTTCGATGTTGAAATATTTTTTCCCTTTCTATTTCCAAGAAGTTTTATTGTTAGAGTTGCATGTCTCCTGCTCGAAAAAGATTTCTGCACCCATATTACGAATAAAAAGTTTTGCATAATCTCCCAAACATTGTTTTAGCAACTCATCTTCTTATAAATGGGCGTGATGCCTGCAAAAGCTTCTACAAGAGAAACATCTTATGATAGAATATTCGTATTAAATTTCAAAACTCTGCAAACGCTGTACGTTCTATTGTGGCCTCAGTTTACATGGTTGCATTTTTACTTGAAAATGTTCTTAAATGAATATTGTCAATATGTTAGAGAAGTTGGAAGCGAAAAAGTAATACTTTGTGAAGAAGCCACATGCCTTTTTCGTTTCGAGGTAAGCCTCGCAAAGAGCTCTGTATCTATTTGCGTGGGTATTCTTTCTTCGGTAACCGAGTAGTCGAATGCGCACGGGAAAATCCTTTCAAATAATATAAACATTTTGCTCTATATTCAGAAACATTCAAAGCATTTATTAAAGCAATAAAAAAACCAATGATTTCTGGAAAACGTTTATTGCATTGAAATTGTAATCTGGCAATGCTCTTTATTTTGACAAGCCGGTAATTAATAGCAAACAAGCTTTTTCGACAGACGTGATATTACGGAAAATTACATATTACCATAGATAATTCGTAGAGGGAAATTTATAGAAATTGTTTAATCGATATAATAGTTTATTGGCTATCATTACGCTGTTTCTTAATCATGAAAATCGAAGAAGTTAAAAGCACAGTCCGCACGCAGCGAATTGCTGCTCATAGCCATGTGAAAGGTCTTGGATTAGACGCAGATGGTGCACCCTTGCCAATTGCAGCGGGTCTTGTTGGACAGAAAACGGCAAGAGAGGCAGCTGGGATTGTGGTAGATTTAATCAAAACGAAGAAAATGGCTGGACGTGCATTATTATTGGCTGGACCGCCTGGAACTGGCAAAACCGCAATAGCTTTAGCGATTGCTCAGGAACTTGGCAATAAAGTACCTTTCTGTCCCATGGTGGGCTCCGAAGTATTTAGCAGTGAAATCAAAAAGACCGAAGTTCTAATGGAAAACTTTCGTCGTTCGATTGGTTTACGTATTCGAGAAACTAAAGAAGTGTACGAAGGTGAGGTGACTGAATTAACTCCGGTTGAAACTGAAAATCCGGTTGGCGGCTATGGAAAAACTATTAGTAATGTAATTATTGGATTAAAAACGGCAAAAGGAACAAAACAGCTTAAGCTCGATCCGAGTATTTTTGAAGCTTTGCAAAAAGAAAAGGTGGAAATTGGGGACGTGATTTACATCGAAGCAAATAGCGGTGCAGTAAAACGCCAAGGTCGAAGCGACACTTTTGCAACTGAATTCGATTTAGAAACTGAGGAATATGTTCCATTGCCCAAAGGTGATGTTCATAAAAAAAAGGAAGTCATACAGGATGTTACCTTGCACGATTTAGATGTGGCTAATGCACGCCCACAAGGCGGCCAAGACGTTCTTTCCATGATGGGTCAGTTAATGAAGCCGAAAAAAACCGAAATTACTGACAAATTGCGTATGGAAATTAACAAAGTAGTTAATAAATACATTGATCAAGGTATTGCAGAATTGGTTCCAGGCGTTCTATTCATCGACGAAATACATATGTTAGATTTAGAAACATTTACTTATTTGCACAAATCACTAGAGTCTCCCATTGCACCAATCGTTATATTTGCTACCAATCGTGGACGCTGCGTTATAAGGTGATTACGAGTTTGTACGAATTTAAAGTTTAAGCGAAACATTTATTTTTGCATTTTCAATGTTTTCTAGAGGAACTACAGATGTAATAGCACCTCATGGCGTACCCCTCGATTTATTGGATCGCTTGTTGATAATACGAACTATGCCATATAGCTCAAATGAAATGGAACAGATTATAAAGTTGCGTGCACAAACCGAAGGACTTCAAATGGAAGAAGCTGCGTTCGTACGTCTTAGCGAAATAGGTAGCACATCGACCTTGCGCTACGCTGTCCAACTTTTGACGCCTGCCAATCAAATGTGCAAGGTCAATGGTCGCACTCAAATCACTAAGGAAAATATCGATGATGTTCACGCTCTATTTTTAGATGCTAAGCGTTCATCTAAGCATCTTTCTGAGAAAAACAATAAATTTATGTTGTAAATTTTCAATTTTAATTTCTGTAATCAAGTTCTTTTGCAACTAAGATATTTCAATAGCAATGATTTAACCTATTTTCTGTAAAAAACCAATATAATATTCATTCCGTAGTAAGCTTTTCTTCGAACCTTTAGCTTGGTCTCGTTTTATCTACCAGATAAACATTTATTTATTGATAAAATAAGTAGTGTTCTTTTTTCTGACGTGAAAAACTAACTAAAATTGTTGCAAAAACGAAAATTGCACGCTTTTCCGTTTCCTGTATTTTTCATTTATTCCTGAAAGCTTTACATTTTCTCACAACTTCTCATAGATGTAAAAATGTGGAATGTATAGAAAGATGCAAAATAATAATTGTTCTTTTTTTATTTTGATATTACCTTATAGTTTTAATTTGTTTTCGAATATCATCATCAATGATTGAGCTTTGGTTTGGAATATATGATAAAAACCAATAGCATTGCCAAAAATCCAATTTATCGAGTTTTCAAAAGTTTTGAATTCGTACACATAAACAGTTTAGTAAGGGGTCGGGTTTGTACAATTTTTCTCAAATAAAGCGTATATTTTTTTTTTATATAATATTCCTCTTTTTCATTTTAGGGTCTCTTTGCTTACAATACTTTATTACAAATTAAGAATGGCAACTCTGCTATATTCCAGTCATTCCAGTCACAAATTTATCAAGTGTTTTATTAGAAAGAGATTAAGAGATTGATTTAGTCCGGCATTTTACTCTTGTGTGGAAGGTTCAATTTTTCGGCTTGTGCGTGGAGAATTTTTTTTTTTTTTGAGTGAAGGCATAGTGCTAAATAATCTGAACAAATGTTTACAATTGATACCCAAAAATCACAAATTAAATATCTAGTGCTGCAAAACGCAATTTGTCAGTGTGTAAATACATGAAAAAATTGTATATATAGCAAAAGATTGTGTAATTTTTATATAAAATGATTTCATAAATATCGTTTATGTTGACGACGTTAAAAATAAGAGCCCGAATAGAATAAGTTTTCTTAAAATGCGCCGCGCCCGCTGTTGACAGAAAAAATTTGAAAAAAAAGAATTTGTATTAAAATTTTCGACTCGAGAGATTCCAGAGCTGCTGCCCACCCACACGTTAACTGCATGTATTAAAGTAACGGTGCTAACGGTGCTACGTTGATTTTTGTTAATGATCGTGTATGTATGTATGATTTTACTACGTATATGTTTGTAAATAAATATGTTTAGGCGAATGACATTACAAGAAAAAATATTACAAACAGTGTTGCCAATTATAGGTCAGAGTGCGTAAAAAATATTGAATGCATTGTAAGTTGCTAGAGATAAGCTTCGAGTCCTTTTATATTATTTATGTATGGTAGGGCGGAGATAATTAGTTTTTGTTGTTCTAGCGTTTCTCTGGCTGCTTTCTATCGCAACTGGAGTTATAATAATTTTTTTTTTTTTTTTGCGATTTGGAATATAATAGGCTCCGTTTATGAATCTGAATTGTTCGAAAGATGTTAGAACGACATGTCTTTTATAAAAAATTTCAGGTTTAACACTTTCAATGGATTATTAAGTAGAGAAATGCTAATAAAAGGATTCTTACATTACATGTAATTTCTTAATCACTATATGTTGTGTCATTCATTCATTCATAATTCTCATAATTTGTAATTAAGTGAAAAGAACAGTCTGTTAAATAAATAGGTTTATTTAAATCGTAGAGAGAGAGAGAGAGAGACGGAGAGAAGCAAAGAAAGAGAAATATGAACAGGAAGAATGCTCAAATAAACAAATGAGAGAGTCAGAATAACAAAAATAACTAAGAGATATATTCGCCTTGAATCACTTACAGTGAGTACGGTATATAAACGTTGCTTAGAATTTTGTGGTGTTTATCAAAGGATTTATCAGAAAATTGTTTACGTAAAAATTTGCAGATATCTTTCTCATTATTCATCGCAAATTTTTTGCAACGATTTTTAAAACATTTCGACATTGTGTTGATATTTGTAAATTACTTTAATGATGGACAGAGAAAATATAGACGGTATATTATAAAAAAATGCGGACTTTTAACCTTCGTGTTCGGTCGTTTAGCGTAAACGTAAGTTTATAAAAAGAAACTAATAATAATTATATTATGACATAAAAAAAAGCATTGCCTCTCCACTCTTTCGAGTTAAAAGCAAATATCTGTTAAATGGTTATAGTTTAACTATAGCGAGCCCACCACATTCAGATTATATGCTCATGTGATCATGGTGATTCCTTTCCCATAGTTCACACAAGTGATTTTTACGAATATTGTAAACAAAATGGCGTAACTCTATGTACATAAGTATATGTATGAAATAAAAATGATATAGAATATAGGCCATTTTCAAAAATTTGTTCAAAAATAATGAAGTTAGTTTGTAGAGCTAACTATATGCATTACATCCTTGCTATTGCGCCAATCTTACTTTAGTCTTTGAGCAGGCAGGAACAGTTTTGCACTTCTTCTTTTCGCAGTAATTCGTGAGAATCATTTATATTTTCCAAAGGAATTAACACAAATACTCATCAAATATGCTACTATAGCCACCATTACGTTTATGTATACCATATCATGTATTCGATGACGACTTGAAATCTTCCGTTGAAATCTTCAACAAATTGATACCAAAAATTTGAAAATAAACTTTCACATGTAGGGCATAGCTTATATTGGTTAAAATATATATCTGTGAACTTAGACGATTATTAGTGATAAGCATTCTATGAAATCATTGTTGGAAATTTCACGGAAATATTTTGGAAGATACTGAGGTAATCACAGCTGCCGCTGCTAACGATTAATGGTTCATAATGCGGTACTGGCATCACCCTCTGAAAGTCTTGTGTCTCCATTTGCAGTCAAATACTTGGCAGACCAATCATAACATCGGTTGCAGAAATGCACCGAAATCGGCCGCTAGAATCATAAAGGGGCAGGCATTCCAATAAGCTTCGGACTCATCATGACTGTATTCGATCTGCCGATGAGCTCTTAACGATATCTGGAAAGACGCAGCGAAACAAAATTCACTCCGCCTGCCGATGTGTAATGTAGTATTAGCAGATTTTTCATAGATATCAAATTTACTTGTCCTAAGAAACTTTCAATCGATACGTGGGCGATCTTTTTACGTAAGTTGCTGACAGCAATAGGTTATTTTAAATAATTTGAATATTATTATGAGGAAAGTATTATTTTCTAAAAGAAACAAATAAAAACACTTCCGACCATTAAACACCCTACAACACCTTGCGTAGTACTCATCTTAATTTATTTTCCTAATAAAATACACGAAATTACGTTCTTTTCCAAGTACGGGGGTACTTTTCATGGTGACTCATACAAGGAAGACATACGCGATCTGAAATCCCGAATTTAATCTTCTTCTCAAAAACTTTATTATTCAGTTGCTTTCGTCATATAGTATCAATAATTAGGCTTTGCTGCCATATAAAGACTTAAGCTTTATTTGAACACCTATAAGGAATGGCGTCCGAAAAGTCGAGCTACATGATCGCAATATGGGCGAAACAAAAAATGTAGACGCATGTGATCCAAATTTACAAAGGCTTACCTTTCGTGGGAATGTAGAAAGCTCGAAACATCAGATCAAACTTTTCACACCAGTGTTGAAATATTATATCTGGGCGATATTTGCAGCCAATAGGTTAAACTCAATAAAAATACGTGGAAGGACGGAGAAATTTAGTAGCAGAATCACCTTCTGGAGTATCGGTATAGTAAAAAGTAGGTCCATCTTAGTATTTGCATGTGTGACACACGTCCGCGCAAACTTAATACACCTTGCAGCACAGGTGTGGCGTAGGGTATAAAAAGCATGTGCGAAAAAAAAAGAAACTAAAACTATTCTATAAATGCTTTCCTAGGTTGTTAAGCTTTTTAAAAAAAACGCGTTATGAAAACAGCAGAAAGTTTTGAATGGATAAATATTTCGTCTTTTTCTAAAGCATCATATCATCTTTCTATACATATACACATATTCATATTCTGTGTGTGTGCATGCTATGCATGTCTATAGATATAAATGCAAGTATGAACATGTATTCCATTTTGCTTGAATGAAAAGCAGTTGCTGCATGATGCATATGAATACGAAAATCCTCTTTGATAAGTGTGCATCTAAGACAGTGTATGTTTGTCTTTCTATACAAGCGAACCGCAGTGGTTTTCATTGAAGTGCAGTCGCACGTGTGTTGAAAGTTTAACGGCATTATAAAGCATTTTTTCGAATGAATGTAATTGTGTTACAGCTTACTACACAGTTTTTCCTAAACTTATGGCAATGATCGCAATGTATAAAGTCAAAGGACTAGATTTCTTTATTTCTACTTAAATGAAACAAAATCTGATAAGTGGTTTGACATCAAATACCCAATCAATTTTCGAAAGTAAATAATAAAAGATTAGTGCATACGCTATGCATAGATATATATATATATATATATATAAAATTATATATATAAAATTTCAAGACAAAAAATCATAAATTCACTTATTAGGAATGGACGTAATACGTGGCGTTTCTAATGCGTGTTGGTGGGCATGGCAAGTGGTATTACGTAACATATGTTATATTTCATTTTTCTTTGAGATACTGAAAATCGATAAAGAGATGATTCTTTTAATAACATTAAAAATGAAGTACACTTCTTTACCTCCCACCATGCCTAAGGCTCGAGATAAAGCTAGTTCTGAGTTATAACGACTTTCCAGAATAAAGCGTTACCTAGGGTGTGGGCGAAAAAGTGGGCCGATCCGAACCATTTTCATTAACGTTCGTCCTTTAGCCAAAGTACGTCTATGTACCGAATTTTATCAAAATATCACAAAAGTTGCGGCCTGCAGAACTTCAGACGAACGGACGGCCAGACTCAGATCGGCTTAAATCGATTTAGAAAATGATTGGGAACCGATCGATATAACAAAAGGTGGGTCTATCTTAAACCCTTCTGGGTGTTAAGTACGTCCGCACTTATGCTGTAG